GAGTGGTGGGTGTTGGATTTCCCGAGGGTACCGAGGCTTGGTTGGCACGTTTGAGCTCTTTGACTTCTGATAAAATTGAATGGGGGTTCGGATGGCTCCCTGTCACCGAAGTTGTGTACATGTCAGCCGAAGTATGTTATCTTCTCCTGATGGGTATCCGGAGCATCCAGCCATATGCTCCTCATAGGGTTTTGTGTCAATTGGGTAGATTTCAAACTGTCCCCATGATGAGGATTTGAGTGGACATGTCCTCGAATTGGGCCCAAAGGCCGTATTTCAGGAAGGAAGAGCTCGCCAAGTGTGGAATGAATGTAGATTTCTTGAACCTAAGACTACTAGAGGTGAAGTAGACCCCAAGTACATTATTTGGTTCGGTAAAAGGTTCCATATTCCTGAGAGACCTGCTAAGAGAGCTCATGTTCAACAATTCAACAACGACTCGCAAGAGCAATGGGGCTGGTTGGCAAAAGAAGAAAGCTATAGGGCCAAAATAAGTAAATTAGAGGGACAAATCAGGGACCTCAAGTTTGGCAACAGTATCCAGGCTACCGCAGATGAAGGGGAAAAGAAAAAGCTAACTCAGGAAAACAAAGCCCTCAAAGCTCAAATCCAGAAAATGAGAATAGCTGCTAGAAACCCGGAAAGAAGCCGAGCAGACGAAAGGCTTATAAGCAATCTGAGAAAGAAAGCACTTGAGTGTCAAGATGACCTAGAAAAGTCTGAAGCCAGTCTAGCAAAAGTCCGGGCCCATTGGCAAAGAATGCAGAAGGGCACGCACAGTTTGTGCATCAAATGAAAAGAAAATATGAAGAGACAATCACCAATCTGAAGAGAAAGTTAACTACCCTTGAGAATGAGGCGGCCAAGCAGGCCAAGGACTTTAAAGCTGATAGGGAACATTATTATGCTTTGATGGCTCAGATGGAGGAAGAAATGCAACAATTGCAAAATCCAAACCATCACAACACCCAGGTATTAGAAGCCAGGAATCAGTAGGTCGGGTGTCTGCTTCAGGAAAAGGGTAGAATCCGAGAGAGGGTTAGAACCATTGCCGACTACATTGTCATGAAATGGCAAGCATGTGAGGACATGACTCGAACCACTTTCTTCGATGTAGTGATGACATTTGTCCACCAGATAATGAGTGATTTGGAGCGGCTTCAAGGGGATCTGGCATATAGGCCCGTGGCGAGACCGAATGATGTCCCACGGGCCCCAGGAGTCGAAGCCTTAATGTATTCCTGATTTTTCACTTATCGAGTCTGTATTCTGGTTTATTTTGAGTCTGTTCGTAGTTTTTCCAAGAAAATGAGTAGTTTGAAGTCTTTTGTAATAGAAAGTTTAGGAGTTTTTATTAATGAAAATCAAAAATTCCCAAGAAAAAAATTTTGTTTCTTTATTTTTCGCATTTATTTTTTCAACTGCGTAATGATCTGATTCATGCAGCGTCGTGATACGTAGGCAATCCTCATCGGATCGGGTCATGATTTTTTAAATAACCCCAATAAGAGAGGGATATGAAAAGAAAGACCCAGAAGAAAAACCCAAAAAGGAAGAAAAGAGAGCCTAAGAAAAATCAAAGGAAAAATGAGAAAAGAGAGTGAGAAAAGAGATGAAAAAAAAGTGGAAAATTGGAAGTGAAAAGAAGAGAAAATCAGGGAAAATAAGTAAAGCCGGGATGAAACATGCAACCGTTGCGAAACACGTAGAAACACATTTGACTGTATAGGTGCATCACACCCCAACGTGTGATTACCTATTTGTTATTTGCTTCAAACTGACCGGTTTGTTATCTACTGTTAAGCCCAGGTTTTAAAGAAAGGTAGTTGGTTTTGTGGTAATCTGTCTTCGCATCCATACTTCTCGAGATCGAAGGGAAGCATTGAAATGTCTTCAGAAATGACTCTGCCAACAATTCCTATTGCGGATGAGAGTCTGATCTCAGGCATCCCAACTTTAGAATCGGCAGTTGCCGAGGAAAATAGGTTACTGCGTCTCCGCATGATGGAAATGTGGGACGCCTGGGCAAACGGAAGAGAACCACCAAGTGCAATCCCTGGATTTCCCGAGCTTTTTCCCAGGGAAAGTAGGACCTCCAACATCCCCATAAACTATCCAAATACCCCACTAGGATACCTTACTATTCCCGCCAACTTTGTGGGAACACTTCTGAGGCATGCCCCCAGGTGTTAGCTTCAAGTGCAGCTTCGAATATCTTCACTGCTCCGCCTTGCTCGGCTATGGCACAGCCTACACTGCCCAGGCCCAGCTTTGACCCATCATCCTTCACCTTCCAAACACCATCTTTCCCACTGGAACCTACACAGTTTTCCACCTATACTTACTCCCAACCATCCCGGCATGAGTTCACCGCAGGGCAAGAGAAAGACACCAAAACCCCTGAGCAAGAGGAGATTGCGAGAAAGATGAGAAACATGGAGCAGAGTCTCAAAAACATATAGGGTTTGAGTGGACAAAAAAGTGTATCTTATGACGACTTATGTATGTTTCCTCATGTGCATCTACCATTTGGATTAAAAACCCTAAATTTTGAGAAGTATGATGGACACGGTGATCCTATTGCTCATCTCAAGAGATATTGCAACCAGTTGCGAGGAGCCAGTGGGAAGGAAGAACTCCTCATGGCCTATTTCGAAAAAAGACTGGTTGGCATCGCATCTGAGTGATACATGGACCAAGATATATCCCGCTGGCACATCTGGGATGACCTTGCTAGAGATTTCGTCAGGCAGTTCCAGTACAACATTGATATTTCTCCAGAAAGGAACTCATTGACAAACTTGAAGAAGAAATCCTCGGAAAGCTTCCGAGAGTACGCAGTTAAATGGCGTGAACAAGCCTCCAGGGTAAAGCCCCCGATGGATGAGATTGAAATGGTTACAATTTTCCTCCAAGCTCAGGAAGCTGACTACTTCCAAAATATGATGTCCACAATGGGTAAACCGTTTGCTGAAGCCATCAAGATCGGCGGAATGGTTGAAAATGGGTCGAATTCTAAGCCAGTCCGCCATCAGAGCTACCTCCCAGACCATTCAGGGTGGGTCTGGAGGAGTAGCGAAGGGCAATAAAAAGGAAGAAACATACATGGCAGCATCGGGTGCAAGAAAACACCGTACTTCTAGATCCCTTTTCTCAGAAAGGGCCCCGCAACACTATTACCCCCACCAAGATGTAGCCTATGCTCCTTAGCCATACACGGTCATGAATTCTCAACCTTATGTCCAGCCACAACAACAAGCCAACCGGAACCAAGCTCCATTTTCTAGAAACCAGCCTCCTTACCAAAACCACTACAACCCCCGGCCTCCACAAAACAATTTCCACCATCATGAACCACCCGAGAGGCCAAATTTTACACCAATTGGCGAACCCTACTCCAGCCTGTTACTAAAGCTTGTTAAAATGGGTCTGCTACAGCCTATTCCTCAAACCAGGCAAAACCCAGCATCACCCTCTTACAGAGCCAGTACCCGATGAGCCTATCACTTAGGGGCAGAAGGGCATGACACGGATGATTACTGGACTCTGAAGAGAGCCGTGGAGAATTTGATAGAACAAAGGAAGATAGTGCTAAGGGATGAAAATATTCCCAATGTAACTAACAACCCACTGCCGGCCCACAACAACGGGCCGATAATCGGAATGATTTGTGAGGACAAGGAATTTGACCCAGCGTTGAAGGCCATCATTACCATCATTGATGTAGAAAAGAAACCAAAGGCTACCCGAAGCAAGACAAAGGGGAGAAAAAGAACAAAACCATCCCTCCAAAGTCAGAGAAGAAAGTTGAAGTTGAAACTAGGGCAACGCCTCCCAAAGATGTTGTTCTCTATGTCCCTCGAGGCCCCAAAGAAGAGCAGATGACTTTTGAGTCCTCCCAGGAGATTCGAGCTGAATAAGATAACCCAAATGTATGTGCCCAAGGGAGTTTATGTGATGCGGGGGCCAATTAATCCACCAAGGCTGAGTGAGCCCGTAGTTATTGGAAGCACACCACAAAAGCCCATGACAGATCCTACCGTTGTGCCTTGGAACTACAACAAATCAGTGGTGACTTACAAAGGCAAAGAAATCTCGGGAGAAGTTCAAGAAAATAACCCGGCTGAAAAGTATTTCAATTTAGAAGAGGTGAACAATGCCACTAGAAGGCATTTCCCATCTAAGAAGCCTGTGAGTGCCGAAGAAGCGGAGGCCTTCTTTCAAAAGATGAAAATGGTAGATTATGAGGTGATCGACCAGCTTCGAAAATTTCCCGCACAAGTCTCCTTGTTATCTCTATTGATGAACTCCACCGAACATCAAAAGGTATTGATCAAGACCCTTAACGAAGCATATGTGCCTATTGAGACTTCTGTAGAGTAGTTGGAGAGAATGGCTGAAAGATTTTTTGCAATCAACCAGTCTCCTTCAACAAAAATGACTTGCCCCCAGAAGGGGCCGCACATAACAAAGCCTTGCACCTGACAGTCAAATGCGAAGGGTACTACGTGAAAAGGGTTATGTTGGACGGAGGCTCTGGGGTAGACATTTGCCCACTCTTAACTCTGCAGCGTATGGAAATCGGTACCGAAAGAATCCGACCCAACAATGTCTATGTACGTGCCTTCGATGGCATCAAAAGGGACACAATTGGAGAGATTGATCTGATTCTGACCATCGGCCCAGTAGACTTTGAAGTAAACTTCCAGGTTCTGTACATGGACATATTCTACAATTTTCTTTTGGGGAGGTCGTGGATCCATGCAGCGAGGGCTGTACCCTCTACTCTTCACCAGATGGTGAAGTTCGAGCATGAGGATTAAGAGATTGTGGTCCACGGGGAAGATAAGCAATCAATTTATCGGGACCCATCAGTCCCGTGTCTTGAAGCAAGAGAGGGGAGTGAGCACATAGTCTACCAGGCCTTTGAAATCATGGTCGCTGATCAGTGCGAAGAAGGAAAACCTTGCCCTCAACCCTTTCTTTCTAATGCATCAATCATGGCAGCCAAAGAAATGATCAGGCACGGCTACAAACCTGGGAAAGGGCTTGGGAAATCGTTGCAAGGAATAGCTGAACCTATTACTCTGACCGCTAGTGAAAAGTTCTCTAGGGTAGGCTTCCGACGTACTCCAACTGATGTAAGATAGGCAGATAATAGAAAGAATGATGGTTGGGTCTTGCCTTAGCCTGTGCCGCATCTTTACAGAACATTTGTCAAGCCGAAATATAATGAGGAAGAGGAAGATAAGGCCTTTACGACCGAAGAAATCGAAGAAATCTATGGGGCCATGAGGAAGATACTGTATGAAGCCCGTATGGTTCAACCAGGGGAGGGCTCAAGCACCGCTGAGGTGTTATATATGGGACCTAATGCCAAACTGCATAATTGGAAGGCTACGCCATTCCCAATCAGGAGGGAGTCCCGGTAGACCCGTCCTGCCACTTTTTCTGCATCACGAGTTAATCCAGGGTGTAACTCGGATGTTTTCTTTAGTTTCCTATCTTTTAATTTCTAATGTAAACCCTGTTATCTTTAAATTCAATGAAATGAAATCAATATTTCATCATTCATCTTTCTTTATTCTTTCTGATTTGGTTATTTTTCTCTTTTATTTCTTCTTTCAGTTCTAACAATGCGGCTTTAAATAACATGACATGCTTGCGGACTTCATGCCCGGATCCAAACACGCTGTCTAACTATGAAATAATGAACCAAGAACCAGAATACGATTAAGAAGAGGCTTTTACGGAAATCAATTGAGAATTGGAGCAATTTGAGAATAAACCTAAGCCAAACTTAAATGATACTGAGCCGGTTAATTTGGGTAGTTCTGAAGAAATCAGGGAAACCAAGATAAGCATTCATACAGATGGAAAAACCCGGGACGCATTAATCTAACTCCTGTTTGAGTTCAAAGATGTGTTTGCTTGGTCATACGACGACATGCCAGGACTAAGTGTTGATTTGGTGGTTCATAATTTGCCAACTTATCCTGAATACCCCCCTGTCCAGCAAAAGCAAAGAAAGTTTAAAACTGTCATCAGTGACAAGATCAAAGAAGAAGTCACGAAACAGCTGAAAGCGGGGGTGATCCGAGTAGTTCGGTATACCACATGGCTAGCTAATGTAGTTCCAGTGCTAAAGAAAGACGGGAAGACTCAGGTGTGTGTAGATTACAGAGATTTAAACAAATCAAGTCCCAAGGATAATTTCCCTTTGCCGAACATTCACATCCTTGTTGATAACTGCGTCAAACATGAGATACAGTCCTTTCTGTATTGTTACGCAGGATATCACCAGGTGTTGATGGATGAAGAAGATGCAGAAAACACAGCTTTCACCACACCCTGGAGCACATACTGTTATAGGGTCATGTTGTTTGGCCTGAAGAACGCTGAGGCAACCTACATGAGGGCCATAACTGCCATTTTTCATGATATGATGCACCAAGATATAGAGGTGTATGTGGATGATGTGATCATCGAGTCCAAAACTCAGGATGACCATGTTCGGGACTTGAGAAAATTCTTTGAGCGGCTACGCAAATATGATTTGATGCTAAACCCTACCAAGTGCGCATTTGGAGTCCCATCTGGCAAACTCTTGGGTTTCGTAGTTAGCCGAAAGGGCATTGAGTTAGACCCAACAAAGATAAAGTCCAATCGGGATTTGCCTCCTCCGAAAACCAAGAAGGATGTTATGAGTTTGTTGGGTAGATTGAACTATATCAGCCGGTTCATTGCCTAGTTGACCTCCACGTGTGAACCCATATTCAAGTTGTTAAAGAAAGATGCGGCGATCAAATGGACAAACGAGTTCCAAGAAGTTTTCGATAAAATCAAGGAATATCTGTCGAATCCGCCAGTGTTGGTCCCACCTGAGCCAGGGAAACCTCTGTTCCTGTATCTGACAGTCTTGGAAAATTCTTTTGGTTGTGTCCTCGGGCAACATGATGTGACCGGAAAGAAAGAGCAGGCCATTTACAATTTGAGCAAGAAGTTTACCAGTTATGAAGCCAAGTACACTTTATTGGAAAGAACTTGTTACGCTTTAAAATGGGTCGCCCAGAAGCTGAGGCATTATTTGCAAGCTTGCACCACTTACCTCATAACCAGGTTGGATCTTTTAAAATACATATTTCAGAAACCAATGCCCACTGGGAGATTAGCAAAGTGGCAGATCTTGCTCACGGAATTTGACATAGTCTACGTCACTCGCATAGCAATGAAAGCCTAGGCATTAGCAGATCACTTGGCTGAAAACCTAGTTGATGATGAATACCAACCTTTAAACACCTACTTCCCTGATGAAGAGGTGAATTCAGTTGAGGCAATATCCGAGGACACCAATTCTTGGAAAATGTTTTTTGATGGAGCGGTAAATGCAAAAGGCGTTGGAATTGGGGCAATTTTGATCTCACCCACTGGTCAACATCATCCAGCCACAGCCAGGCTTCGGTTTTTCTGCACAAACAACACTGCCGAGTATGAAGCTTGCATTATGAGTATGAACATGGCAACCGACCAAGATGTCAAAGAACTGTTAATCATGGGAGACTCAGATTTGATTATCCGACATGCTCAAGGAGAATGGGAAACCCGAGATGTCAAGCTTATTCCTTATAAGAAACATGTGGAAGAACTTGGTAAGCATTTCAAGTCGATAGAGTTCAGGTACATCCCTCATTGCCAAAATGAACTAGCTGATGCACTAGCCACTTTGGCCTCGATGTTGCTATACCCAGGCAATGCCCACATTGATCCTTTGGAAATCTAAATATGGGAAAGGCACGGCTATTGTAATATGGTTGAGGCAGAACCAAATGTTCAGTCCTGGTATCATGACATCAAAAGATTTTTAAAAACCAAAGAATACCCCGAGCAAGCCAGTGGAGACCAAAAGAGAACTATTAGACGGCACGCAAGTGGTTTCTTCTTGAGCGGCGATATCTTGTACAAAAGGACTTCGGATCTCAACTTGCTAAGATGTGTTGATGCCGAAGAGGCTGGAAGAATCATGTATGAAGTGTATGCAGGAGTGTTCGGACCCCACATGAACGGGTATGTTTTGGCAAAGAAAATCCTTCGAGCAGGTTATTACTGGATGACCATGGAAAAAGACTAATTCAGTTTTGTTCGGAAATGTCATCAGTGTCAGGTGCACGGTGATTTGATTCATGCACCTCCCACAGAACTACATCCCATGTCAGCGCCTTGGCCATTTGTTGCTTGGGGAATGGACATCATTGGGCCAATTGAGCCAAAAGCCTCAAATGGGAACAGATTCATATTGGTCGCCATCAACTATTTCACGAAATGGGTTGAAGCAATCACTTTCAAATTTGTCACCAAGAAAGTTGTGGTAGATTTCGTGCACTCCAATCTTATCTGCCGTTTTGGCATTCCTGTAACTATTATCATAGACAATTCTGCAAACTTGAATAGTCATTTAATGGGGGAGATATGCAAACAATTCAAAATAACATATCGGAACTCTACTCCTTATCGGCCTAAAGCCAATGGTGCCGTCGAAACAGCAAACAAGAACATCAAAAAGATTTTGAGAAAGATGATTCAAAAATCCAGGCAGTGGCATGAAAAGTTGCCTTTTGCATTGTTGGGGTATAGCACTACTGTGCGCATGTCGGTCGGAGCAACCCCGTACCTTTTGGTTTATGGCACTGAAGCCGTAATACCCGCGGAAGTTGAAATCCCTTCTCTCCGGATCATTGTTGAAGCTGAAACTGAAGACAGTGAGTGGGTTAAAGCCCATCTGGAACAGTTAACCCTGATTGCTGAAAAGCGAATGGCCGCAGTCTGCCACGGGCAGTTGTATCAACAAAGAATGTCCCGTGCTTACAACAAGAAAGTACGGACCATAAATTTTGAAGTGGGATAACTTGTTTTAAAGCGTATTCTTCCTCATCATCAGGAAGCAAAAGGGAAATTTGCTCCTAACTGGAAAGGCCCATACATTATCCGAAAGATATTACCAAGAGGGGCGCTATATCTGGGAGATATCGAAGGAAACAACCCTGAGACAGTTGTGAACGCAAACGTGGTCAAAAGGTACTATGTCTAGTCCTTCTGCAGCAATAGCACTATCCAATTGGGATGACGAAGGCTTTCATTCTCGCTACCCCCAACACTCCAGTCCTTTTGCTATCCTTTTAAGCCGGTTAATTTTCTTTCATTACCCTCTTTGGAACTCGAAAAAAAAAGAAAAAAAAAACAAAGTTCCCTAAACTACGTTCGACTTGATTCCGAAAGGATACGTAGGCATCCTCTCTCTGGGGTTCAGTCACACCAAAATAAAAATCCAATTTCCCCCAAAAGTGAAACTGGGGAAGATGTTATAATGGTTCTGGAATGAGCCCACCGGAATGGTTCAAAAGTTGTAATTCCATCCAGATTCTCTTTACCCAAACCTTGTTCAATGTCCTTCTGATCAATCGGTGAAAGGTTTTCAAAAAAAATAAAGAATGTAGTTGTTTGGATTCGATGCAAACAAGATGAGAGAAATAAAATGAGAGAGTCTTATTAATGAAAACCTATGAGCACCGTAAGGCGATGGTGAGCAGAGAAATTGAAAATGAGAGAGTCTTGTTACTGAAAACTCGTAAAAGAGCACTATAAGGTGATGGTAAGAAGAGAAATGAGAGAGGTCGATTGGTGAAAACTCGCAAAGGGCACCGTTGATCGAAAAGAAGAAACCCCTCACCACCATTGGTATTGAAAGAGTCCTGGAAAGGTTCCTCAGTTTTGAAACACAGGTCGCAATGGGTTTATGAGAAGTTGGGATAGTTGTGCGGATCGGGCATCTAGTTCAAGAAGCATGTCATGTCTATTGAAGTCTGCATGCACCCCAGATAAGTCTGTCCTTCCTCCCCGAAAGGGACACGCCTCCTTAAACTCATTTTCTTGTCCTTTGTTTACTTTTCCTTGAATCCTTTTCGGCCTAACTCTGTTTCGAAAACTAATACAAAGAAAAGGTGGCAAGATTGTCTTTACAGGGTTCTGCCAAAAGCTAAAGAAAAGTACCCAGCCTCAGCGGGTGCATCAAGTTGATCCCGACTGGCCATGATGGTTGATGCTCTGAAATCAAACTTATTGAAAAGGAAAAGAAAGCCAAAGGCAAAAGCCTAAAGGCGGAATAAAGCGAAAGGATCGAAGCCCCACGTGGGTAACCCGTCATGAAATCTTAAAAGTTGAGTCCCTCGATTTGAAAGATAGATCAATCTTTAAAAAACCACCAAGCAGCAGAGGTTCTCAACAAAGGTTCAGGCCGAGATCGAGTGATCGAGACAATCAAGGCCACAAAACCAACCACCATTTCAAACTAACAATTGTTCATTGTTTAAAATTGAAACAGGTGCAGCCGAAAGAAAAGTTGTGCAAAAGCTAGAAATAGCTTCGCAGTAACAATCAACCCAAAAGGGAGGTTTTCCTCCAAAATTCTTTCCCGCATTTTATCGAAATAAAACGAAATGAAAAAAAAAGAGAAGAAAAGAAGAAAATCTAAACAAAATGATAGTTCAGAATCCCCAATCTCAATCTTTTACGCTTTTTGCCAACATTAGGGTTCCACTCCCTGAGTTGAGATTTTAGACATAGGGCCCCATTCCCTAGTCGCCTTTTTTNTTAGGGCTCCAATCCCTGAGTTGAGATTTTTAGACATAGGGCCTCCATTCCCTAGTCGCCGTTTGCCAAAATTAGGGCTCCAATCCCTAAGTTGAGATTTTTTAGAAATAGAGCCTCCATTCCCTAGTCTCCTTTTGCC